AAGGATTTAGTCTTCTGAATGTTGAAAGAAGGCCTTCAACACATGTGGGTCTCATCTTCTGGTGGTCATCATGTTCTATGGCTCTGCCATTAGTGGTTATGCATATATGGCACCCAAGAGTAACTCAGCCAAATTGAAGGGCAAGCTTCTTGCACTCTTCTATRGACTCATAACTCCAATGCTCAATCCCCTTATCTACACTTTGAGAAATAAGGATGTTAAGAGAGCAATAAACAAGCTACTAGGGAGAGAACAAGAACAAGGATGGAACATGGCTTAGGAGAATGCAGTCTTCTCACAATTCACACTCCACACTTCCATAATACCTACTGTTARTTGCCAYCATTCATACCACCCCTCCAAATAGTGGTTGATGATGGCTGAATGAATATTCTCTCCCAGATATTAGAGCTATAAAAATAATGAATATTCACAAATGTTAGATGCCACATTCTGGTTAGTATATGTTGTCTTTTCTGGTGAATTTTTCAATTAATAAGCATATAACTTCTTAACCCACAACACWTTAAGACTACTGGAAAAGGTAGTAATCCTGAGACTTTTAAAAAAATCAGGAAGATGACTGCTTGAAATGACTAAATTAAGCCACAATGTAATGTACCAATAATCAAGCTGAAACTTCATTTCCTCTTTGTATATTTTTAGATTATTGGAAACACAATATTTTTATATCTAATTTTATTTTAATCAACTGTAGGATGACATTCTCCATGAGTCAAATGGATGCTATGGTCATCTACATTGTTCTGGAGAAGAAGGGCATACACATAATAACTCTGTACAATGCTTCCAACTCATTTTTCATGTATCTGGTAGCTTTTGTAGCATATTTCTTTAACACTATATCTCAGTTTACAGAAGTTTTTCTTCATGGTTAAAACATGGAAAACACATGTACATGTACATATTTCAGCAATGGCCTATTGATCTGAGAGACATCTTGCTGCCAAATCAGTGTGTATTTGATTCTTGGTGTTCAAACATTTTTGATCAGCATTATCATAGCTATTCTTAGCAGGCCAAATTGATATGGAATAACTAATTTTTTTCTCCAAACTTAATGGCAAAAAATCCAATAGCTTCTGAGTTTTTCCCTGTACATGGGGCAGATATCCTTGATACCTCATTTTAAGGACTCTATTATGTATTTGTTGGTGGATGAATGGTCTGTATTTKGATAAAGGTGTTTGGACTTGACACAATTAAGAGTCTCCTGTATGCRCTCTGAAAATGGTCCAAATATCTAAAAGAACATTCCTATTAGCAATGTATCTCATTATGTTTGTATCACTTACTTTGTTATCTTTTTTTAAAGGTTGTTGTGTACACATAGGAAATAGAGGGAAAAAACAGACTGAATGTTCATCTAAGTGAGGTTACAATAGAAGAAGTGGAAAAGAGCATCCACTCTCAAAGATTGTAATGCAATAGATCATTTTATGAATGTGATATATACACCCTTTTCAGATGTTTCTGGGCAGTGGATATGTAGCTCATTCCTCTCACAAAATATAGAAAATGAGCAGTTTGAAGACATGATGAAAATTTATATCATTTTTCAAGTAATATGTACATAATCAGTTCTTCTTTCTCAATCCAACCCTCACAAATTTTAATACTATGAAAATAAAAATGCTATTGTKTTTTCTAACAATATGTGTGCATACATATTTGTGTATCTATAATTTGGGGGAGATATAAAGGGATTGAAAAATCAGTTTTCTAATAGTACAAAMATCCTAGTCCCAATTATTTCCAAGGAAAAATTTTAATATCTGTCTTTTCACAAGAATTTCTACAAATGTGGTGTTTGCTATTTAATGAAATAGATAGGTAATTGATTTGGTAATCATATTATACTTTTAAAATACACTGATGTATTCTGTATTTTATTTTTCTTAAGATAAAAGTTGATGTTCAAGTGAAAGGAGTTACTTAATATTAATGTTAATATTAAACTGGTAGCTGAGTTATTGGATAGACAGAACTAAAAAAAAATGGAGAGTTCAATTTTCGTTTGGAGACCTGATATTAAATCAATACAGAAAAATGAGTGCTACTAGACAGTGATTATTCTTATTAGGCATCCACTGTGATTTCCCTGTGTATCAGAAGCATGGAGTGAAATTTTAAATATCACAAGTACATGCACAGACCATGAATTTTGGTGCCATTTCTTGGTAATATATGATAATTATAACTCTGGGAATTTTCCATTAAAATTTTTGTTTTCAAGATTTTTCTGTTATATAAGTGGTTCCCTTTATCATATTAAGGAAGTCCCCTCTATTGTTAGTATGCTACGTATATTTTAAACATTTTTTTTACTTTTTAAAAATATATTTATCTTTAATTGATAAAAATGTATATATTTATGGTATAAATGTGATGTTTGTTATATGTGTTCATTGTGGAATGGTAAAATTAAGCTAATTGAYATATATATTACCACACATTTATCATTTGTGTATATTGAGAAAATTTAAAACATGCTCTCTAAGCAATTTTCAAGTGTACAGTATACATATTAGTTAATATTAGTTAATATATTATTAACTATCATAATCATTATGTGCAATAAACATTTTGAATTTATTCATAATGTATAACTGAAATTTTGTATCCTTAGACCAACAAAATCTTTCCCAGTGTACTACCCACACCCATTACCCAGCCACTGATAATTATTATTCTAATCTCCACTTATATTAATTCAACTTTTTTATATTCTACATAAAATGAGATTATGAAGAACTGGTCTTTCTTGTTTAACTTTACATCCCACAGGCTCAAGTCTCAATGATAGAATTTCATCTTTTAACAGGGTTTAATAGTATCCTAACATG